TAAAGGGATTCGTTTTGGAATCATTACATGAATCCTTACTAGTTAACCGAAAATGTAGGCTAAATGATCAGAATTTCGTGGGATATTCGGCCTGTTCCAGGCGACTTTCCTTTACTGCAAAGCTGCACAATGGCCTCATAAAGGGATTTTTCGGAATCGTTACATGAATACTTACTAGTTAACCGAAAATGTAGGCTAAATGATCAGAATTTTGGGCCAAACGTACGCGTAGCCCGAGAGATGATTTCCTGAAGAATTTTGAGGCGATTGAGGCTATTCATTTCTTATCCACATGGAATTATCAAGTCGATTGAGGGCCGAGGAGTATGGCTATGGCTAGCTGAAGCCGGCGGATGTTTACGTCAGTGATTTAATCCCCTCCGATAATGTTCCTGAGCAATGCTAAGCTTGACTTGCTAATGCTAAGATCAAAGCTGGGACTTAGCCCGTGAGCTTTACCAGGGATCGTTGGCCCTTGGGTATAATCAGCACGATTGAAACAGTTAGATCTGTTGATGAACAAATTTACATCACGTAATCATTTTTTTCAAAGATGTTCCACCATTGGAGATTTTTGGGTTCAAAGATTCATTCAGTGCTCTTGACCCAACGTTTGGACCTGAACGTTTTCTTCAAAGACCCGAAGGTGTTTCGAGTTTAACACCATCTGGACCGCTTGACACACTTGGGGTCATGTATTTCTCTTGTTTCATATGAACTATTTTGCATTTGTTCATGTTCTGAAGTTATTAGAGCACGTTTTCGGAAACGGATTTCAGATAACTCATAGAGAAGTGGGGAAACACATGAAATCACTGATTATCGGGTTAAAAGCCTCGAAAGGATGCGGAGATTCTTGCTGGACGGCGGTCCGCAGTACTACCCCGTCAAACCCCCCAATCTACTCCAGCAGTTCCGATGATGTGTTAGGAACACACCCGAACGTCCCACACAGCACGAAAAGTGCACTTACTGGAGTTTCATGGTAAGTGCGGGAAATCTCAAAATTAATGAATTTCACTGGAACATAGCAAATTTCCTGCACTTACGGTGAAATACTAGTAAGCGTACTTTCATGCTGTGTGGGATTTTTGGTTGAGCTCGGAACACGTCATCTAAACTGCTAGAGTGGATTGAAATACTGCCAGGCAATGGACCTTGCAGGGGTGACGCGATTTTTTCAAGAAACTGAACTTGTTTAGGTTCTTTAATGCTCTTATTTCAATTGTTTCCGATTTTTGAATTCTTGCGGGGCTTTTTCTCTTTTCCTCTGTCACGATACTGCTCTCTTTCTGGTAGGCTTATACGACCCTGCAATAAAAAATTGAACTGGTTGGCTATGGTCTATCCTTTTGCAGCGTTCCTTCTATTAGATTATTATCCTTGATCTTTATATGCAAAATCATCGAACTCTGTTAAGTGTTTTCAAGGTTATTCATTTATTACTGGTATTGCTTGTGACATTGATTGTCTGTAAAGACGCGATTTTGCGGAATCTACTTATAGCTTCCTAAAAGGGTACTGGGGCAGTAGCTCCTTTTGGCTTGGCCCGTTTGTACCCCAGTTCCCACTAAAAGTGTCCAAATGTGGGAAAGGCCAGAAGACGACCTAAATGTTCATGGCGAAAGAGATTCAGGGTGCCGCGGTGGCTCTATCGCTCCCGTGTCAAAACTTCAGTGCCCTCATCTCTGATCTGTAGACAACTGAGCACGAGGTTTAGGTCTCAAAAACAATGACAACGTCAATGAGATTTTTGAAGGCGTAACTGTATTAGTTGGGGAAGCCAATAACATCCAGCTAATCCTCTTACTTAGTAATCTTGCCGTCTAATTCATATTTCATAAACATAGACGTTTTGTAGAAGCGTATTGAAGTCGTACAACCGCTTTCAGGGCTCTGGCATGCTGTCAGTCGTTTTGCGTGTTTCATGGGCGCGGAGCCGGCTAATTGAGGCCTGTACTGAAGTTCAAGCCAAGTATTAACGAGATTTCAGCAGTGAATTGCTGTTTGATGACTTAGTGCTGTCACAGACCCAATTACTAGTTTGGGATTTGATTAGTAGTGTCAGAGGCTAAATTCAGTGCAATGACGTAAACAGTGTAAGGTAAAGCTGCTATCATTGCCCTTTTAACTGGTAGAAAGATGAGTTTTGGAATTTTGGCTTTTTGAGGCTCATCATCTCGCTTATGTCAAATCCATGTGGATGTTACTCGAAGATAGCTGAAGTAGTAAGAGTTACGGGGATACACTCGTTGATTATTCCGCATGTTGTGCGTAAACTTGCTCGATATTCCTGCTCGTTGTTTATTCGACATTGATGGGGCTAAAATTGCTCTCTGATAGATGTGCCCCTAAAGGCATCCCGTCTGAGATGTGAGTCAGTGAGCCGTCGGCCGTAAGTTTCTTCGACTATGCAGAGCTGCTCGGGCCAGCTTCGTTTGTGATGACTCGCCACTGAGGAGTTCCTCTCGTCTCGTCGTAGTCCTCCTCTGATCAATACACTCGCGCTGAAATGGCTCGACGCCAGCCAGTCCGTCGTCGTCGTGGTCGGTCTCGGTGTTTCGTCGGCATTGCCCTTCGCCAAAAGTGCACGCAGGCTATTCCTTAACGGGCAAATGTCCCACAAACGCCGACACAACACCATGGGTGGTCTCGTTTGGCAGATCGTGCCCTTAGCACTTTTACAGCCGATACGATTCACTCACGCAGTGCTGCAGCACCTTCAGTTTGGAGGTTTTTATTGCGCGAAAATCGGATTTGAGGGAATCCAACCGCCGGCTGAGCTTGTCGTTTCCCTCGCATTCCGGGAACACGGCTGCCATTTCGCTCACTTCCCAACTCAGCTCTCCATCAATATCCCTTTACGAGAGGACTTCTGCTGAAATATCAATTTAGGTCAAGAATCGAATGAAATTCAAGGCAGTAGGATCAGCTTCGTTTACAGCTGACAAGAGTCTATATATCTCACTCAGGTGAGACATGGAAGAGGATCTAGCAAAGTAAACCAGCAATTCGGCAAAGTGTCCCCCACCCCGCCTAAACCGAACGGCGTCAGGTACTACCCACAGATTTTGATATGTTCTTCCAAAGCACGCAGTACCTTTTTCACTGCTTAGGCAGGCAGTACCTTTTCTGAGAATTACACAGTTAGATAAAAGGACAAGAACGATCCACCTAGTTGTGTGATTGACCTGCACAGGCTCATTGTAAAAGTTCTCCTAAGAAAAGTTACAGAAACGTGGGGAAATATATCAAGCCTAAAATTACAGCATGATAACCTACGTAGCCTCCCGGGGCCAAATTAGTGATCACCGGAAGACTATCTGGGTTCAGAGCTGAATTTGGATATTATTTTTTCACTCCTTTCCAAGGTCCCGTTAGTATGTTTACCTCTACTTCTAGTATACGTTCACCAAACGTGTGAAGTTGATATCGTCACAATCCGGCGGGGAGGTGCCAACAGGTGCGGCGCCCCACACGCGGCTGCGTTTTCTGCCAATAGTGGCTGGTTCAGGTAAAAGGTGACCACTGGTAGGGCCATTCCTCCTGACACCGCCTCTCAGTTGCGACGATATGCGAGTTTGTTGAAGCCATGATTTAACTTGTTGAAGAAGGCTCGCAGGAGCCTTGCCTGGTGCTCACTCAAAGAACTCCAAAAAGAAGCCGAGAATTCCGAAAGCTGCTCTCAGAAGTGTTCGAAGAAACACGCAATTAATGCGTTTTGCTTGGCAGGTGCAGATGGGCTCGGGGGGGGGGGGGGAGGGCAGGAGGAGGGTGTAGCGAGGGGGACAGTTTCCACTTCTCCGCTATATTCCTTTGCAGTTCATATTTCACCAACAGGTCTCACTTTGGTGGGATGTGCTAACTCTTGTAAAGCTGCGACGTTGTAATGAGAGAGCCACATTAGTTACAGGACTCTGGAGCTTTTCATAAGGTGACCTGTACAAGTTTTTTTGAGCTACCATTGGATACCACCGCTGAGACTGGCATTGCGCTCGAGTTGATCAGCTCGTTGTATCCTCTTGGCACTCTTCCAGGATAGCAAATGAATTTATCGTAAAAAGTTCCGCAACGCTACAGAACTGAACTGTCTCTGACGAGGCATATGCACTTCATCTGGCTCTTTTGCGCCTTGGCTTTCTCCAGAATGCACGAGGTGTATGTAAATGCAAAGCAGTATACCGGATAGGGGCAGACAAATGGAAAATCAAGGAACGTGCAAGAAAAACACCCTCTGAGCTAGATGAAAACTGAGAAGATGACGGAATGGAATGTGAAACCGCCGATGGGAAAAAGTGCTGTTCTCAGAGCTGTTTCATAGATTTGAGTGGACAAAATTTTTCTGATGGCGGGTGGTGGGGAAGAATGGTAGAGGCACAGGGAACATAGCTGGGAAAAATGTAGGACAAGAAGTTCGGCCAGTTTGAAGCCAACTTTATGTGTATGTCTCTCCCGGCGCGGCGCAACCGTCAGAGCTCTGGGACAACCTTCAGGGCCCCGGTCGCTTATACTGGCCCCGTATAACTGTCCAGAATGAATAACTCGTAATTACAACTTCATTGAAAACTTTTATTACTCCGTAGCGTCTTTCAAAGGTCTGTTGTGCTGCCATTCCAAAGTGATAGAAATGACGCACAAAAAATAGTCAAGGATTGCTATGGTTCACCGAAGTTAGGCTACATTTGGCTGTTTCAGTCGGCTCGAGGGATTTTTTCAGAGGATTCACTCGTAGGTGCGGCTTATATGGGTCTTAATTTCGAGCATAGTGAATGGTCCCAAAGAGATGTTCCAAATAGGTGACACTTTGGCGCACATTTTGTGGGATCACCACTTGAGTCTGACAATCCTTTAGAAGAGATAAAAAGATAATGAACAGACGGTTTGAAGTTTGGAAGAGCGTTAGTTCGGCAACTCGTCAACAAAAAACCCAATTATTTGAAAAAAAAAACGAAAAAACCTTCTGGCGCAACTTTGCTCAGAAAGGGTGGGAGAGGTGGTTGGGGGGTGGGAGGGTGCTTTCTAAACTCAGGTCTACATCCCGGGCAATTTCATAACATCTTGTAAGTTTCTGTAAGAGCAGTTTCTGTAATTGTGTGAGAAGCTACAAAACCTGACAAATTTCAGTTTTACTCTTTATTTCTATTTTTATACTTCGAATAGCATACAGAGCTTGAAGAGGCTACAACGCGAATAGGAGCCATGCGGATGAGGATTTCCGACTGCATGGGACGATGCTGAACTTCTGTCTAAACATACAATGTTTGTTTACTTGTTTACTGATGTTGTTTACAGAAAAGCGGATGCCGAATTGGATCAGATCGAAAAGCAAATAAATGAACGAAAAGAAATCGCTCGACGACTTGTTGGAACACACGACGACGCGATTTGTCAGATATGCCAGAAAACGAAATTCGCTGACGGTATTGGTGAGTTGATTGAAATTTTTTATTGACTCATTTTCAAGAAAATATACTTCAAGCCAAAATTCCATGAATAACAAAATGGGGCCTAGTTTGCATTCCGAACGTTTTCAGTCCACATAAAAACTAACCTTCAGCATACCCGGGCCATACTGTCCCCTTTGCCCGGTCAAGAAACTTCAGGGGCTTTGAAGAGGTGCATCTCACTTTTGTTTGGATCGTAAAATTTAGCTGTAAAATAAACAACAAATTCCAATTCCCCAAACTTCGATGTTCAAATTTTCGGATACTGATGGATCACTCGGTTTATACAGAACGCTTATATAGAGCGAAATTCCTTCTAAATTTCAAGGATTTTTTCCCGAAATTTGAAGTATAATATTCAGGTCACAAATGTTTCTACTGCCAACTGCGAAGTTGTGCACGTTGTGGTGGTCGATCTCAGAGTAAAAGCAAGGTACGTTCCTTTCTCGATCTACCTCAGTCTTCATTCATCTCGACTGCTTCTCGGCTGCTCCAGCCACGTCCCGGAATATCAATGTGAACAGCTCTTGCTCAATATGACCCCCATCCTACGTAATGGGATGAGGGAAAGCAGACCCCCGACATCATTACTTTGGTGGGGACCGCAGGGTCAAGAAGGATGACTTTGGCCCAGCGCCGACCAGTCTTCTTTTTTCGGCAAGCGATAAGTTTGTATTGTATCATTCGTCTCACTCGATTCTCACCAACCGTTTTCGCATACTCGCTTCAGCAACTAATGTACAACGGGCCGGCTGCGCGCTTAATCCGGCTTCACTGACACGCCCCGTCATCCGCAGCGAACAAGACTGCATTAAGAGTATTAAAATTGAGACTGACCACGGATTTAAGGCAGGCAGCTGAAATACGACTCCCTACCACCCGTTGAGGGATTGTCAGTGTATAGTTGCTCTCGCTCAAGCTATCTGCCTCTCTGTCTATGATTGCCCTCCAGTTCGTCCACACACCTGGCCCTTATGTGCCTGTGTTCTAGCTAATGATCTGGAGGGGGCGGGGGGGGGGGGAGGGATGGTATTTGAGAACTTCAATGAAAAAACCTGAACTCGTAATGGAGATGACGACCTGTCCAATCACCCAGGATCTAGGGAGCTTTTTGATGGGTGAACTATATTAGAGTGCGGTT